AAACAATAAATTACAGCTATTTTTTACACACAGTTGATTGAACATATGATTTAAAACTTTGTTCACACACATATTTGGAATTAAATTAAATAAAGGCAAATAGGTAATCCCAAAAACCATATTAAACAACTTAACCTTTAATAAATAGATACCTAATTGCATTTTTTTCACTATTAAATCATGGTTTAAGGGTTAAGTAAAGAAGTCTTAATCAGTGGTTTTAATAATCCCAAAAACAATGTTAAAAAAACTTAACCTCAAAAACCAAAACACTTATGTATCTGTCAAATCATCTTTACAAAAGTACTAATTTTTATTTATTTTTTATTTGATTTTTTATGACAAAATATTGTATGCAACAAGTAAGGTGACCAACTGTGTAAAGGGGAAAACCAGAACAGCGGTGGCCTGTAGGAAATTTTTTTAGAAAAAGAGGCGTTGCCCTAACACTACCTGTGTTATGTTATTATTATTTACTCTCAATTGAGTTAAAAGACACAAATTTCAAAATAGTTATTTTATATATGGGTCGTTCCACGCCAAATCGGCCACTTTTGAACCCGACCCCTTTCGATTTGGCTGAAATTATGTTATATTTTTTCACCCCACCAAAAGTTTTTTTTTAGTTTTTTTCACCCGACCAAAAACATGTTAAAATTTTTTTGTATTTTTTCTGAAAAGTTCATTCAAAACCAAAAAATTTAAAAAAAAAACGCCCCATTTAGTCAAATGTTGACAAAGTTAAATGTATTTTAAAAGAAAATTGGCCATTTTTGCGCCGAAATTCATAACTTTTTTTTTGGTTGGGTAAAAAAATTGGAAAAATTCTGAGAAACTTTTAAAGTAGAATTTTTTTTTAAAAGTTCAGTCAAGTCGAAAGTGGTCGATTTGGCGTGGAATTCCCCATATATATATATATATATATATATATATATATATTTATAAATTAACTATTATGAAATTTGAGTTTTCAGCCCAGTTATTTTTAGTTATTAGGTATACCTAATTAGGTATACCTAACAACTATTAAAAAATTATCAAAATTGGAAGTTAATTTTATATGGTAAGCTAAATCAGAACAGACCAGAACCAAAATAGGAAAATCAGAACTTTTACTACCTTCGATTTCCTGTCAGAATGAAGACCTCAAAAACAGTATAGTTCTGATTAAATCAGAACAGTTGGTCACCTTAGCAACAAGTAATGAAAATAGACGATTATAAACGAGCATTTGGCGGATTTTGATTTTGGGTATATATATTGGTATAGATAAAGTTTATCGCCAAATTTTAAAATTTATTTTATAACACCAAGACTTACAGATTTTATACCATTTTTAATTTGACAACTTTTACTGTCATATTTCAAATTAACGGACATCTGTTCCAGCCTATATATCGACACTCATTTCTTTTTACATGAGAAGACTTTATCTGGTGCGTTTGCTTTAAAATAAAAATATCTACCATAGCATCGCTACGAAAGAGTCAGCTTACATTTAAAAAAAATCATCAAAATCGGATGAGCGGTTCGCGAGGAAATCAACATTAAAATTGTGTATTATTAATACACTTATAAATAACGTTAAGTGAAGAGTATCTTAATCTTAATGATAACAATATAAATAATAATATTATAAGGCGAAAAAAAATGCGAAATTGATTTTTTTTAAATTGCCTACTTTTTTGCATTTAAAATGCTAACCAACACCCATTTTCTAAAAAAAAAAAATTGTCAAAAAATGGATTTAAAAAGGTTATGAAAAATAAAGCATTTATTTGTAAATAACATAAAAAAGTTCCTTTTATTATGTCTGTATTTTAAAAATTTCAAATAAATATATTTTTCCCAAAAGTGAAGTTTTCCAAGGCCTTGGAAAAAATCGCAAAAAAACTATTTTTACCCCAATTTTTCAGTTTTTTTTCAAAGCTTTAAAACGCTAGTTTAAAATAAAAAATCATATATAAAATAATGTAGGACCTACATTGTTACCTTATTAAAATTGATATGCAAATTCAATGCACGTTTCTTAATATTGCATAATTTATTAAATGTATAGTAACGAATGTATAGCAACGAATACTAAAAAATGTATAGTCACTTTTTCGTTTAAAAACTCTATTTTTATTAAATTACTTGCAAAATTTAGTCGAAAAAATTATAATTTTTTGCTTGATTGGATTAATAAAAGAAAGTTAGTTTTTAAAGGCAACAAACTAAAAATAGGCACATAATACTTTTTTCTTTTTTTTTTCACTTCGCATCTTTAAATATAAAAATGAAACGTTGAAAAGAGATACAAGAATTACTATTTAACAGTGGCGGCTGGTGGACTTTGGGTATACCAATAAGTTATTAGACTTGGGACCCACGGCAAATTAATAATAGTTTATAATGACATTAAATAGACAAGTTCGGCGCAAAAAGAATTTAAATTTAAAAGTTTGCGAAAAAAAGTTAATTTTTCGTGTCGCCTCACCCGCCTCCTGGCCCCCCTATTTGAGATAATTCAAATTAAAGTGGTGCAATTTATAACCTACTATAATTTATTGACAAATATAAAATTTTATTTAAAAAATCCAAATATGGACTGCAGTTATTAGTGACTGATTTTTCGATATGACAAGTGGTCATTTTTGACTAATTCATTTTAAGAGAGTATGTATTGAATATATATATACAAAAATATAAAAAATATATAAAAGTATTATAAAAAAAATCCAATAATTGTCAAACTACACCTACATATCAATAACCTAAAAATGTTCGAAAACTCTATAGTTTACTTATAAATTTAGGTTATCCTAGGTATACCTATATATAATGTGTCATTAATAAACATTCTTGTATACCTATATGTAAAAGCATGCATGCTAATTTACAATGAAAAGTTTTATATAGGCACTTTTTTATATAATTTTGGGTCATTGAAACGTAGTTAACTTCATATAAGCTTATTAATAAAATATACCAATTTTTAAAATGCCATAACACTAAATGTTTGTATATTTAGCAAAAAGCACTATGCATCAATTTTTATTATTTATTTTAATTGCGTTAGTTGTATCACTGAAATATATTGTAGATTAATAATTAATTAATAAAGACCTGTAAAAGTTCGTCGTGTATCTTTCATAGCAGTCTCCAATAATAATTAAGTTAAGGTTAGTTTATCGTATAAATATTATTAATAAATATTAGCAAATATAATGAATATTCCTTATTTTATTTTAATGCAAAAAATATTTCCATATGTTCTTTGTTTATACATCTTAGCTAAGGACTATAGTCCTTAAACCGCAATTTTTAATTGTTATGAGGTGCTAAGTGCTCACAATAAGTGAGCGGACCTCCAGCAATGTTTTTGTCCAGCAATTCTGAAAAGTAACGCTTACTTTTCGTATCCTGTAGTGTTATTAAGACGAGCCGTTTATGGCAAAAGTACCACGCGTTTTAAATCCGAACTTATATTTTTCGGTTGCGTGAGCAAATCGCAAAAAGAACAACAAAACCCATTGAAATGTCAGAACCGGAATGAAAAAAATAGTAAAAATAGTAAACATTTTCTTTATTAAATTTATATTAAAATTAATTATAATTATAATATATAATTATTATATTAATTATAATGATGATTATAATGTAATAATATAATAATTAAATAATTAAATAAATATCAGAGTTATGAGCTAGATACCTACTCTAGGATTTACTTTTTATGTAGCTATGATTTTAATTATTTTTTTTTTGTTTTTAAATACATTATTTTTAAATGTACTGCTATAGCATCCATGTATACATGGATTAATTTTTCATAATAAGAAAATGTAAATGAACTGGCAATTTTTTGGAAATGAAAATGTGTATCAGTAAAAGTAAGTATTGTATTTGAACAAGTTTTAAAACTCAAGCCCGGCCCTGTACCTAAACATTCAATTCTCAAGATAACTGCCTGTGAATGAATGGGTCGGGTTTTCGAACAATTAGTAAAAGATTTTTCGTCATTTTGGTCGAAGTGATATATGACATTAGACCAGATGTTTCATTGACTATATTTTTCAAATCAATTGCCTTTAATATGGTCAAATTGCTTTAAAATATGGTCCTTTACAAAAATTAATAGTCTCCCATTGAATTGTTATTTTACACTAAGTGGAATGGTGAATGTCATTCTGAAGCACGTTTATTCGAAAAAGTGACTTTTGAATAACTTTTTATTGTTGGGTAAACTATTTAATAGACTATTTTGTCTGCACAAGCTGTTTGGCAAATCTTGTTTATTTGAATTTATTATCACATTACTAGTCTCTATATATTTTTTAATAAATTATAAAATATAAAAAATGCTATTTAAGAAACAGAAATTAATTTTAAAAAATTAAAAAGTAATTAAAAATGTAGGCAGCAATATAAAATCTGTAAATTATAGTTTTAAGAAATCAAATCAAGCTTTATGAATATATTCAAATGGAATAAAAATGAAATCAAAGTATACCTACTTGGATAAAGTATTTTTGCCCTTAAACGCATTTAAAAGGCGTCGTAAATTGGTTTAAAAAATTATTTTAAAATAATATTACAATTTGAATTATTTTACATTATTAATAAAAAATGGCCTCTGGAGGATTTTTTATGAAAAAGACCGCGTTTGTAAAAAAATATTTTTTGTAGAAGTTTAGGTAACATCTATTTTAAACATAATTTATCCTCATAAGTCGTTGATATAGTAATTAATAGCAAATACTGCTAAATTTCTCATGATACAACACTGCAGTGGTTCAGTGAATACAGTGATTTTTCTTAAACAATAGGTAAGGTTCCTCAACAACGAGCAACAGGTAACGCGCCCCACCTTAAACTGGAGGGGATTGAACCCTTATTAAAACACGTGTAAGGCCAAAACATTTATATTTCAAATTCGAAAATACCCGGCAGCACATCGGTCTTAAAGTTTTGTAAAAAAGAGTGTGTTGGTTTAGTGAAAAAAACGGATATTAAAAATGAAAACTGAATCAAGAAATAGTGGAGCACCCATGTCTGAAAGCAGAAAAGTAAGTATCTATTATTTTTTAAATTCCCCATTCTCTACTTTAAAATTTTACATCTTTTACTAATAAATTATTTTTCTTGAAGGTAAGAAAACCTTTAATGGAGAAAAAACGAAGAGCCAGAATAAATGACAGCCTGGAAACCCTCAAACAAATTCTCCTAGACTCAAAAACGACTCTTAAGGAATCCAAGAAAAATGGACAACGCACTGCTAAATTGGAAAAAGCTGATATCTTGGAGATGACTGTCCAGTACTTGCAACATTTACATACAAAATTAAACAACGAAATCAACAAACAATCGAAAGAAGAAATGATGATAAAATCATCTGAAAGTGTTAAAATGGGTGTAACATTAATACCAACTAAACTAAAAAGTGGTGAAATTGTTTTTGTTATGCCATCGAATTTAAATAGTTCAGTTCAACAAAAAGAAAACTATCAGCCGCATTTGAATCAAAATGTTTGGAGGCCTTGGTAGATTTACTACTAATATTCTTTTTATTGTATATATGTATATAATTTTAATTTGTCTGTGATATGAAAAACTTTAATTAATAATAATATTAAGTTTATTTTTTGAAGGTGTTTTAATTAAAAATCTTAGTTATTTTGGATTTTTTTGATTAAAAAATCCGTCTATTTAGAATTCAGATCCGATTCAATTGATGCGTGATATAATTTGTTCTACTTATTTACTTTAATTCCTTTATTAAATATTTTCTACCTGTACTACAGTGGCGGACTAAACCCGTCGCCGGGGCGGTAAAATTAAATGGGGCCCCACTCTTAATCTAATCAGGGATATGAAAATTGATACCAAGCTTTTTTCAGCGAACTTATAATTATACTTATATTTAAACTTGTTCATATATCAAATTTTAAAAATCAAGGGGCCCACTCATGACAGTCTAAGATTAACCATTATTTAATGTAATTATAACTTTTTTATAATTCCTGATGGATTGCAGGCTGCAATTTGCAGCTAAGGGATCCTAAGACCAAAATATTAAAAATCTCTTTTAGTTTTGATTTTATATTTTGTTTTTTTTTTCATAGCATAGCTCGAAATCTCCGGGATATATTTTAATCAGTTTAAATTTTATGGTAAAGCTGGGTACTGAAATATTTATATCTATACTAGGGTTTTAAAGCGTCGGAAGAAAACCGAAAAATTTGGGTTTTTTTACGAAAAAATCGCTTTTTTGGGAAACATTTTTTTTAAATATACACATTTTAAAAAAAGTAGCAATCAACAACTTAACATTATTTTAATTTAAAAAATATTATATTATTTTGCTAACAGGGGTCCAATAATATCCAACTACAAAATAATGAAGGATTTATAAAGTTAAATTAGGTACAAAATTATTATTTTATATATCAAAGTGTCAAATAAAACGAAAGTTATGTTAACACACACAGTAAGAAATGAGGGTAAAATTACGGATAAAAATATGTAATATTTCCACAAAAAATATGGAGATTCAAATAAACGCATAAATTATTACGGTTATTTAGCGAGTTTACAGAATAAAACGTAAATAATTTACAGAATAAAACGTTGGCTATTCTGTGGCCAACGTAATATTCAGTAATTTTTTCTTACTGTGTGGTTTTCTTGCGACCCGGTAGAATATATAGGAATATTCCTACTGAATTAATATAAAAGGAATAATTATTATAATCATAATATTATGATTATATTCAGCGTCAGAAATTCACTTTTTTCTTTGTATCAGTATCCGTTAAAATTTGAAAATTTTCAGAAAAATTGATTTTTGCTTTTTTTCGCATTACCCCAAGAATAAAATGAAACATGCAAAAGTTAATTTTTCTAAAAATTTCCCAATTTTTCCATTTTTTTGAAAAAAAAACTTTTTTCTTCGCCGTCTCAATTTTTCCGGAAATTTTAAAACCCTAATCTATATATATATTAGACTGGTTCAAAAAAATCGAATATATTTTTTTCTTCAAAGCCCGCATTGAAATATCTTCCTAGTAGTGAAAAAAGAAGCCTGTGAAAATTGTAGCTCTTAATATTAATATTTAGAGGTCGCTCACCGTGAATTTCTATTTTACGTTTAAATAATACAGGAATTCTTTTTTCTTAACTTTGAAATTTTATAACTCGTTTTTGAGTGAACATATTGGAATAAGCGACACATATTTTTAAAGAAAATTGAACGCTCTACAAAAAATGTTTCTTATATATTTTTTATAAATTTACTTCTTTTATAGTTATTCAAGGTTGAAATTAGACAAATAATAAATTTAACGTTTTTTTTTCGATTAGTGGGATAATAATAAACCTTATCACTCATTATTGTACAGGATGGTCCAGTTTGTAATACATTAATTTTAATAGGTGATAAAGCATCAAAAATAAGGTAGACTTTCATAAAAAAACATTTCTTAAAAATGTTTCCTAAGAGAAATACAGGCTGTCAAAGTTTCCAAAAAAAAAATAGTTTTCTCTTCATAACTTTTAAACCACAAAATTAATTTGGCACACAATGTAATATAGTCAGTGCCTTAATAATTATGTAGATAAATATTATAAAAACATCAGTGCCGCAGTTACTTGGGGGGGCTGCTCCCCTTTTCACCTCAGTCTTTGACGCCACTGGAAATTTTAAAATAATAAATAAATGTTTAGGTCAAGTTTTTAATTAAGGGAAAAAATTTGCTCTTGTAAAATTTTGATTTGGGGCTTCGTTTCTAAAATATTTGCTCAAAAATGTTTCCTCGCAAAATTACATTTTTAGATTGTCTGTTCAATTTAAAGATAAAAAAAACTACTGTGCTAAAATTTTAATTTAGGGCTTCGTTTTTGAAATATTTGGGAACACACTCCAAAAAAACTGCGGCAAAAGTATTCTTGAATAAATAAATTAATTATTTAAAAAATGAAGCACTAAATCAAAATTTTACATGAGTAGTTTTTTTCTCTAATTTAAACAGATAATCTAAAAATGTGTTTATTATTAAAAAAAATTCCAGTGGCGCCTAAGGTGAAAAGCGTAGCAGCCCCCCAAGTAACTGCGCCACTGATGTTTTCTTTAAATAATTATCCACATCATTACTAAGACATTGACTATATTGTGTACAAAATTTGATAAAAATTGATTAAGTGGTTTAGAAGTTATGATGGGGAAACGAGTTTTTTTGTAAAGTTTGACGGAAAGCGTCTCTGCGATCGCGGAAACATTTTTAAGCAAATATTTCAGAAACAAAGACCCAAATCAAAATTTTACAAGAGTAAATTTTTTCTCTAAATTAAAAACTTGACCTACAAATTTATTTAAATTTTTAAAATTTTTAGTGGCGTCAAAGACTGAGGTGAAAGGGGGTACTTCTCCCCTTTTATTATTAAGGCACTGACTATATTACATTTTGTGCCAAATCTGATGAAAATTAATGTTGTGGTTTAAAAGTTATAAAGAGAAAACTAGTTTTTTTGTAATCTTTGACGGCCTGTATTTTTCTTAGGAAACATTTTTGAGAAATGTTAATTAATGAAAGTCTACCTTAAAATTAATGTATCACAAACTGGACCGCCCTGTATAATCTTTTTTAAAAATTTTATATAAATTATGTTTCTTAAAAAAAATTATCGCTCATTTCAATATGTCCACTCAAAAAAAAGTTATAAAATTAAAAGTTAAAAAAAATTCCTGTGTTATTTAAACGTTACATTTATTATATGTCTAATTTCAACCTTGAATAACTATTAAAGGAGTGAATTTACGAAAAAGTTATAGGAGACATTTTTTGTAGAACGTTCAATTTTATTCAAAAATATATAGAGTTCATACCAATATGTTTACTCAAAAACGAGTTATAAAATTTCAAAGTTAAGAAAAAAGAATTCCTGTGTTATTTAAACGTAAAATAAAAATTCACGATGAGCGACCTCTAAATATTTATATTAAGAGCTACAATTTTCACAGGCTTTTTTTTTACTACTAGGAAGATATTTTAATGCGGGCTTTGAAGAAAAAAAAATATTCGATTTTTTTGAACCAGTCTAATATATATATATATATTAGGGTGAGCCAAAAAAACTAACCTATCGGATTTATGGGTTAAAATGAACCTACATACCGAGCAAAAAATTTCCCAACAAGGCAAAATTTTTTGCTCAATTTTAAAAGGTGTCGGTGAGAATTCTAAGTTTTCCATTGAAATAACACGTAAAAAAAATCTTTTTTCATTAAAAAGACTATAACTTTTGAACCGTTTGAGATAAAATTTTTTACGTCGCGGATTCTTGTAGAGCATAAAATTTTCCAAAGAATATATACTAGGATTATTTTTTTTAATTCAAAAATTCTTATGTTTGAAAGCTTTGAAAAGTGTAAAAAATCACTAAAACTGCAGTTTTGATCCAAATTGTAATAAAGAAAACTTTTTACAGTAAAAGTGTACGATTATATTATAAATGTATTTGTATAAATTTTCGAATATCTTTTAAACGCTTAATTTAATCGACAAATCATAAGAGACCATTTTTGTAGAGCAGTTAATTTCCTACAAAACTATGAGTTGCGCGATTCATAAAAAATTTTTGTAAGCGAGTTATAAAATTCATAAGCAAAACAGAAATTTCTCTTAAAATAATAACTTTAACCTTCGATATCTTTTTAACGGTTCCTACAAGAATATGAATACAGTTATTTTTTAACGAACAGTTGTCGAAGAGATATAAATTTTTGTTTCTAATACTGAGGAAAAAATGGAAAATTGTAAAGCGGAGGACCTTGTTATCAAAATTAAGAGCTCATGTTTGGTGAGAATTCTCTAAAGTTGTCTAGTAACCGATTTTTCAGAGTACAAAGTAAAAAAAAAATAGTCGGTTTTTTTGACCCACCCTAATATACTGGGTGTTTCATAATATATGCGCAGGACTTCAGGATGTGATAGCTCAACCAAAAAGATGAAAAAAGTCGCTATTAACTTACCCTCTAAAATGCACAATTTTCGAGATACAGGGTGTTGAAATTTTAGAAAAAAAATCGTTTTTTTCGATTATCTCTGGAACCGTTTATCGTACAAAAAACAGCTTTTGTGAGCATTTTCTACTCATAATAAGCTATGTTTTGTGCCAGAAAAAATTTTTTTTTCCTCATAATTGGTGGATATTTTGAAGGGGTAGCGGGTGTTTTTCTCCTCAACTTCTACGCCCTTGAAAAAAGTATGGTTTCGAGAGGCCCATTCGAACCGCCAATGTTTTCTACACAAAAAAGGTACTCTTGGTCATAAGCTCTAAAGTTGACCGTTTTCGAGAAAAATCAACTTTTATGTTTAAAAACATGGTCAATTTTTTGAAAAAAAAATTTTTATTACTAATTAAACCAAATTTATTTTAACGTTAGAAAAAGTAACAAAACCAAACGATAATTGCAAAATTTAAAAAAAAATAAAAAATGATTTTTTACACAAATGCTGAAATGTGCGAAATGCGTTACCTTTACGGTT